CAGAAATCCTTCTTTCAGACAAGAGCACCAAATCAACTAAACTGAATATGTGAGCTCTAAACCAGCAAGCTGCTCGTTCAAATTTCAGCCACAACCTTAGCAGGGTGGCCTCAGGTAAGCTATTATTCGACTGTCGCTTCCTTTCACCTCCACTGCAATACTGGTAGGGCTTTTAAAATAATTACTGTCATAATATTGTATGAGAAGCATCCTGAACACTCAAAAGCACTACTGAAATGTTATTTTCAGTCATTATGTACTTGGGTTGGATCCTGTGTATCCAGCATCCTCATGGTAATGACTTCCTCTAGTGCAAGCAACCTTCCACCGATGTAAGAGACTCAGGAGAAGGCTCCTGGTATCAGCAAAAGACTCCGCCAAAAAATCTCCCCATACAGATACTTTCCCCCTCCATCAAGACTCAGTCAACATATAGTAAGCCTGTAGGGTTTTCAACACAGGAGTCATACAGAGGAGGCCGGCCTCTGCACAGCACCTTAGATTTTCTTGGTGGTCTCCCATCCAAGTACTAACCAGGGCTGACTTTACTTAGCTTCTGAGATCTGATGCAACCAGGCTAGCCTGGGCTATAGGTAGGGTTGCCAGCTCCGGGCTGGGAAGTACCTGGAGATTTTGGGGGTGGAGCCTGAGGAAGGGAGGGCTTGGGGAGGGGAGGGACTTTAATGGGGTATAATGCCATAAATTCCACTTTCCAAAGCAGCCATTTTCTACAGGTGAAATTATCTCTGTTCCCTCGAGATTTGTCGTAATCCTAGGAGATTTCTAGCCACCACCTGAAGGTTGACAACCTTAGTTACAGGTCAGGGCTACAGACACGCAGTATGATGTAACACTAGTGGTAACACGGTCCTGGTGAATGAGAGGTTTGATTGTTCAACACGCTGTCTGTAATTTAAAACACATGAGCAACTCTTAAAAGCTTGTTCATACCATGATCCCTGCAGCTGCCCAATAATCCTTGCAACTCATCCAGTTAAGAACATTTTTGGAAAGACTTACTTCCACAAAAACTTCAGAAGCTAAAGTGGGGGGGAGGGAGAGGAGGAGTTATGAAGTCAAATGTTAGAAGGGGGGACGGGAGGAGGACCTCCAAAACATTTCTTTGCTCACACAGCAGCACAGTAATGCATGAAACCCAAGAACAAATTGCTTTTGTGCAATAAGATGCCCAGCAGGAAGACAGATCAAAGTCCATGGGCAGGTAAGTTCAGACAAGGTAACAGAGAAAGAATTCATGAGATATTGTTAAACATGCTTTAGTTGGGGCTACCTCAAACGTTATGAACTTGTCTCACAGAAAACATTTTTATACCAGGGAAAAAGCATGTGAATTGACCACAGAAAAATCATGTGACAGCGAGAGATGCAAAAATCTCGCTGTGCATAAAAAACTAATTGCCCATGCCTTCTACAGCATGCAGATAGACACATGTATTGTCACATGAGATGTTATTCACATGGTTTTCCACGTAGGAAATTCATAACGTTTGCAGCAGCTTTTAAGGCTCCCCCCCCAAACAAGTGTGAATTCAGGCAAACTATGCAACCATCTTCTTATATTTCGGTGTCTAATGAGAGTTAGCATGTGTCATTTAAATCCTCAGAGTTGTCCACTGGTGGCAGATGATACGTTTTACTATGGCACTGAGCAGCACTGTAAAAATAACTGAGAAGAATCACATTCATGACTGATTTTGAAGTCCCTTCCATTAAAAAGGAGAAACGACCCATTAAAATAATTTTAAAAATATATAAATTTGTCTCACAGTTCTTCTACTTCCATTGAACGCCAATGGAACTGATGAGAACTTCTACATTCTGGAAGGCATTTGGCTCAACTAATTCTAATGGCTGACTTCACCTGATACAGATTTAAATTTGATTCAATTACATGATAGTGGTATTTGATATAGTTTTAAAGGTAATCTGCCTGAATTCTTTATGACAAGAGGCAGGATATGCAGGGGTGTGTGTGTAAAAAAAACAACAATTAAATGTTACACTTGGGCTTATTTTCAGATCAAGCTTTAAGACTGAAGTTTTCAGTTTATGTGGACAATCATTCCCCCTGAAGCACTGAGAGGTTTGACACCAACTTCATAGCTATTTGTCAGTTTTATAGCACTCATTCACAAAGAAGTGTGCACCAGAACTCTGAAGGTGCCTGGAATTCTGCCAGCTATTTCTCTGCTTGTCCCACCCCACCCCCCTTCCCTGGCAAGACACTTCGAAAGTTCTTGAGCTTCAGAAAACTGTTTACTGTGTAATGAACTGCTGGAAACAAAAGGGTCAGGAAACTTCAGTCCAGAGGTGCCTGCATGGAAGAGGGTGTCAGTATTGTGTGAGGGGAAGAGTGCAGGAAGTGGCAGAAAACTCAGATGTGGATTTACATTACTTCCAAAGAAAGCCTTGAAAAGTGTACTTTCACCTGGCCCAGTGCAGAGGTCATTAGTAACCACATCTAAACCCACAGTACTGTCCCATCTGACTGGGCAGCCTGGTGCACCAGCATCAGTAGCTGCCTAATGTACCTTCTGGCAGATCTCACATTTAAACGCATATAGCAGAATCCATCTTCTTCTGTACTTGTAGGTCAATTGCTCTTTTCAGATACTCATTTACATTATTGCTTGTACTGGAATACTTTACTGGATCAAAGCCTAATGCATTTTATAATTGCTTGATGGGGGAGGGGGGAGTTAATCTGATTGTGAAGGATTTACCCTCAACTAGAATGGTGAAATAGGGGACAGAATAAGGAATACAAGCAAGGGCCCTGAGCAAGAGCTGGGAAAAGGTGCCAAGCTCTAAACACCCTCCAGACTGAACAGCAGTTTAAGAAGCAAGGAGCTGAAATTCAGGATTACCAAAGATACCAAGCTGAGTCAAGAGCTATTAGTATGCACAGCCCATCATCACACACACACAGATTGGGGTAGGGGTTACAATGTTGATTGTATATGTTTACACAGTATATCTGAATGCATTTAGAATCATTTGTTGCTACTGTGGTAAAAGAGCTGAATGTTGTGAATAAACTCATGTAACAGTTGATTCTGTCTTTATGAAGAAGTTTTGTGTGGGGTGGGGTGTGTTCATGTTGGCCCCACCCAAACAGGAAGTCCATTCACTGCAGGTGTATTCTGGCCAACACACTGTCTTCCCATCCCCTAGATGATATCACATTATAGTAGGGGGGCAGGGCACAGAAATTAATGAGAGTGGACTGTCCTTCTTAGGCCTAAAGAGCTGAATCCCCCCAAAGTGGGGAGTTTTCAGGGAGAGGGATGGGCAAGATTTCTACCCATTATACAGAGGTTTTGAAGAAAAGGTAACACACACATACTTTTAACTGGGAACAAAGCTTCTTGTTAGTAACTGAAACCCACTTCCTAGCTCTCTATTTGGGTACTTAGGAAACCTTTTGCCTGGAGCAGAGCTCTTGACTTCTGGGGTCTGCCTGTATGTTGGGAGAATCTGTGCAGAGGGCTGGGGAGAAGGTGAAGGTGACGCTTGAGTTTGTGGGTTTTGATCATTAGAATGAGAGTCCTCTTTTTTCTCTCTCTGTCCTTGAAGTTTTTCCTTCTTTTTTTCTGTACCGCTGCAAAAGAAAGTATAAGAGAGGTATAAAAAAATTTAAAAAGAAAAACAAGCAATGGGAAAAAAATTAAAACAAAACATGAGAACACATATGTTTGAAAAAGAGAGGATGATTAAATGTGTCAGAGTAACTGCTCCTGAAACCAAATCCTTAATCATTTTCTTCCCAAAACTGTTTTATGCTTTAAAAACTTCTGTTTAAACTACTAAATAAAATGGACTGTGGCCCCATGAATTTACCTGATTTAAAACATGATTGCTATAAGAGCAGGAAATAACCATTATATACATCACTGGTTGGTATAGCATACTTTTTTTCCTGCAGGCACCAGTCAGTTAACTGCAATTGATGGAATGTACCCTACAGTTCCTTTTGCTGGCAGAAGAGCTCTTCCACTAATCAAATTTTATTTTATTTTTGGAGAAACATTGAAGAATTCACAGCATCCAAACTGGTCCTTCCACTAGCAAAGGAATTATAAGTAGTCTTGTTCTAGAGCTTGCATAAGCTTGCAGAACACTGATAAGGTAAGTTTGTGTTTTGCTGGCAGTTCATAACATTGGGGCCACTGGAAATGCTCCCAGAAGGTGCTAGCAGAGCAGATGTTTCCCCATCTTCCCCTTTCTCAAGCAACCTGGCTTTGTCCAGAAGCTCCTCTCTGAGGACAGGGACAGCCTCACCACCAAAATGTGCCAGAGGGACTGAAATACTGAGAGGAAGAAATTTTACTTGATTCCTTCTCATTGCTGCATCCCATAGTACATTTTGCTTGTAAGGCAACAAAAATTCTTGCAGTGGATCCAACTCACAGGGCCGAGGACCTTATTTTCAATGCAGTTCTAAAACAAACACACACACCTCTTTCAATGTCAGGCAAATAAACTGGATCTTTGGCCTCGGTATTTACACCCATTGCACAAAATAATGAAGTTTACTTTATAATTCTTAACTTGTCAGTGCTGCAGTTAACTTTCCACTTTTTCCAGAATCACTGACAAGGCAACAGAGCACAGAAAAACAAACTGTAGGAAATGTCTTACCATTAAAGAAAAAAACTTTGAAGGGTATTATTATTATTATGACAGCTGTATTGGCAGTATTTACATGCCAGTATTTTGACAGTCAATCTTCACAGCAGTTATCCTACAGTAAATCAGACTGTCTGTTTGGCTCCCTAGATCAGGATTCATTTGTCACTGTTTGCCTACATTACAAAAAGTTTTGTTTGTGCTCTTTTATTTATATACAAATACTCATGATTGAGCATTATTTCCATTATCCTACTGTTCCATATCTGATAGATATTTACCACAATATTCCAGATCTGCATTCATATACGGGGAGAAAATATCTTATGTCACCAGTTTCAAATACCTTGGACAGATTTTGAAATTATGTTGATGGGTTATTTTCTTCTATTTTCTGAGGCTACTTGGATCCCCAAGAGCATTTCCATGAATGGAGGAATTTCCACCTATGGAGCACAAATTCCCCCCCCCCCCCCCGGGCGGCAGCTCCAAATACTCCTCCTGATATGCTGTTCCTGGAGGACTGGGAAATTCCTTTCACACACAGAAAAGATCCAGTGGATCCAAGCCACCGCATGGGATTTTTGGCACCACATGCCACAGCAGCACCACTCATCACTGCACTGCTGCTGGGCCACAGGGGATGCTTAGCTAAGACTGAAAACTTCACCCAGCTTTCCTTAACAGCACCCCTTTGCTGCCCTTGAGTTTTACTCTTATACTCTACACAACTTGACCTATTAAGTTGTCCTGTTGCTAGAGAGAAAAAAGGGGCAAAAGACAAATGTTATAAATGGGAAAACATAAACAGGTAAAATAAACCACAGCTATATATAGCACAGTATATAATAAAGAACAAATCACTTATATAATTTTCTATTTTCCTACATCACTCTAAATGTTGACTAACGTTATGTAATATTCCATAAATTATTCCTGGTTTTTACTCTACTATATTACACCTCTGTTTAACAACCATCTTCTTCTCTAACTTTTAAAATGTTACAAAAGTTAACATTATATTTTAAAACAGCTTTATTAAACTTTGTAAGGTATCTTGAGTGTGAAAATTGGGAAAGAAGTGGAGAACAAACAAATTAAAATAAGCAAATATGGGTATTCTAGTATCTTATTAGAAAACAAACCAGAGCTCTCTATTGCTGTACACGATAATTCATAGACAAATTATCATAGTGAAAATGGTTGGACACTGAATTTTTCATCAGCCTGGATACAAAAGTCTATTTCACGAGTTTCTCCTATTTCCCAAAAAGCTATGCTTGAGGTTGCTGTGTGGAGCAGGGTTTCTGGAGAAAGGCAGGGCTACAGATTGGGATGTATGCAAATTGTCATCTGAATTGATGTGCCTTCTGCTCTCACAGTAGGTACTTTGGATACAAGTAACTGTACCTAACAATTCAGTACTACTTAAAATTGCTGCATAAATAAATATATTCTGTGTCACCCTCCCCCCAAATATATATTCGGGACATTTCCACCAAAGTTATTTGCCCCAGTTTTGCTGCTGTTGGAAAGAAGCAGATAAGTGCAGCTTCCTATGTTTCCTGGCTTTGTTCAATTTTTCACAAGCACTTTGCTACAAAGTTTTGGGAAGGACAGTAGCAAAGCCTGGATGGCTGCCAGAGACTGGCCATTGCTTTCCTTTGTGCAGTAACTCTGGTCTTTCTTTGTAGTTTCCCATCCAAGTACTAACCGTGGCTAACCCTGCTTAACTACTGAGCTGTGATGCAGTCAGGCTACTCTTGGCTATTCAGGGTGCCCACAGATCTAAAGATGCATTTAAATACACACATTAATGTGCACATACCTACATATAGACACAGATTTGGGCTTCATTAAAATAGTCACAAATTCTTAACAAGCGTTTGTCTACAAAAAGTTACTGGGCATGGGATAGCCCATGTTGGGAACCTTTGTACGTGCCAGGAAAGGCAGTCAAATGATTAAAGAAGTTAGTTGGATTAGCAGGTCCTCTTCTTGAGTCAGCCTAGTGGGTAGAGTTTTCCATCACCAAAAGAAACCAAACAAATCATGTTCTGGGGAAAATTTAGTTCACTTATATATATATATATATCTGTATGTATATATTTTAAAGATAATACCTTTTAGCAGCAGACGAGAGAGTTTCTTTCCTGGCTATTGGTACAGCAGGACTGTGGCTAGTTTTCCTGTTTCCTGTACTTCCATTGGTGATGCACGACAGGGAGATGGCTTCACGGAGGCCTGGCTGACCTACAAGACATCCATGCGGACATTCAAACTGAGATTTATCACATTTGGGATTGCCTTTGACAGAACAGCAGCAAAGATAAAAAGGCTACACATCTGGAAAGTGTGTGGCCAGCTTGTCAGTAACAACTGCACTTGACCAGACTCCAACTAAAACAGCTCTTTGAAGTTTAAAAAATATTAATAAAGCAACCATTTGGAATAACACTTATAATTTGTAATTTTTTGTTTTGTTTTGTAGGGGAACAGTGTGTCTTTCAAAGTTTGAGAATGCATGATCATTTATTTTGTTTTGAAAACTTTCCATTATGCTTAGATCTGTGAATATAGTACAATGGTTAAAAACAAGGCAGAATACCACCGCACAATCCTGTTCAGACAAAATCTGTGAATGAAACAAATATTAACCATAAGAATTTAGGAAGCCTGTATCATATAGATGTGAAAAACCTGAGAGCTTAATTTTTCAAAAACCTTCAAATACCATATATGGGAAGGAGGTACAAAAAGGGCATTTAGTTGTCAGATATCCTTGAATGAACAGAAAATTAATGTTGCCGGATCAGACCAAAGTGCATCTTTATACAGCTTTCCATCTCAATGGGAGACTGAACAGATCTCTCCTAAGCAACATTTTCTTTCACATTCAAGTGAGAGAACCACTGGAGAAGCTTGGAGACTATTTAAAACTACAATCCTAGAAGCTCAGAAAATATATATATACTGCAGGTTAGGAAAGGCACACATAGGTATAGAAAAAGCCTGCATGGTTAACAGACAAAGTAATGGAAGCTGTAAAAGGTAAGAAGCATTCCCTTAAGCGGTGGAAAGCTAGTCTCAGTGAGGTTGATAAAAGGGAACACAGAATATGGCAAATAAAATGCAAGTCTGTGATCAGGCAGGCAAAAAGGAAATATGAGGAGCATATAGCAAAAAACATAAAGACCAACAGCAAAACTTTCTTCAAATACATTAGAAGCAGGAAACCAGCCAAGGAGGCAGTAGGGCCCTTGGATGACCAACGGGTAAAAGAAGTACTGAAGGATGATATGGAAATGGCTGAGAAGCTGAATGCATTTTTTGCCTCTGTCTTCACTGTGGAAGATGAGAAGTGCTTGCCCACTCCAGAACTGCTGATTTTGGGAGGGGTGTTGAAAGACCTGAGTCAGACTGAGGTGACGAGAGAGGAGATCCCACGACAGATAGACAAAAACTAATAAATCACCATGCCCGGATGGCATACATCCGAGAGTTCTGAAAGAACTCAGATGTGAACGTATGGATCTCCTGACAAAAATATGTAATCTTTCCTTAAAATCTGCCTCCATTCCTGAGAACTGGAAGATAGCTAATGTCACTCCCATCTTTAAAAAGAGTTCCAGAGGAGATCCGGGAAATTACAGGCCAGTCAGTCTGACGTCGATACCGGGTAAGTTGGTGGAAACTGTTATTAAGGAAAGAATTAATAGGCACATTGATGAACAAAAACTATTAAGGCAGACTCAGCATGGGAAGATCTTGTCTCACTAACCTGTTAGTGTTCTTTGAGGGAGTGAACAAACATGTGGACAAGGGGGACCCAATAGATGTTGTTTACCTTAACTTCCAGAAAGCTTTTGATAGTTCCTCATCAAAGGCTCCTAAGTAAGCTCAATAGTCACGGGATAAAAGGACAAGTCCTCTTGTGGATCAAAAACTGGCTAATTAATAGGAAACAGAGAGTGGGCAATTTTCTCAGTGGAGGGTGGTAAGCAGTGGGGTACTGCAGGGATCAGTTCTCGGTCCGATGCTTTTTAACTTGTTTATTAATGATCTGGAGTTGGGAATAAGCAGTGAAGTGGCTAAATTTGCAGATGACATGAAGTTGTTCAGGGTGGTGAGAACCAGTGAGGATTGTGAGGCCCTCACTATGCTCGGGATTATTAGGAAGGGAACTGAAATCAGCCAGTATCACAATGCCCCTGTATAAATCAATGGTGTGAACTCATTTGGAGTACTGTGTACAGTTCTGGTCACCACACCCCAAAAAGGATATTATAGCATTGGAAAAAGTGCAGAAAAGGGCAACTAGAATGATAAAAGTGTCGGAACACTTTCCCTATGAAGAAAGGTTAAAACGCTTGGGGCTCTTTAGCTTGGAGAGACGATGGCTGAGGAGTTTATAAGATTACGCATGGGATAGAGCAGGTAGAGAAGGAAGTACTTTTCTCCCTTTCTCACAATACAAGAACTTGTGGGCACTCGGGTTAGAACAGATAAAAGGAAGTACTACTGCACTCAAAGAGTGATACATGGAATCCACAGCCATAGGAGATGGTGGTGGCTACGAGCATGGATGGCTTCAAGAGGGACTTAGATAAACATATGGAGCAGATGTCCATCAGTGGCTGTTAGCCACAAGGTATAGATAGGATCTCTCAATCTGGGGCAAGTGATGCACTGTATTCTTGGTGCTTGGGGGGCAACAGTGGGAGGGCTCCTAGTGTCCTGGCCCCACTGCTGGACCTGCTGATGGCATCTGGTATTTTTGGCTACTGCGTGACAGGGTGTTGGGCTGGATGGGCCATTGGCCTGATCCAACATTGGCTTCTCTTATGTTCTTATGACTTGTTTCACAAACTGTTTTCAGATCTGTAACTACTAACCAGTAGATGGCTATTTTACCTGCTGCAGTGAAGAGCACTTTAAGAAACTGAGCCACCATCCATCAAATTTTACTGACATACACCTCCTCAAATAGGCCTTTCAATATTTTTGAGATTGGTCTCATGACGACAAATATCAAATTAGCTATGTAAGGAACTGGCATTTTGTATTTAGCATACACCCTGACCTGGGTGGTCCAGACTAGTCCAGTCTTGCCACATAGCAGAAGCCAAGCAGGATTGGCACTGGTTAGTTCTTGAGTGAGAGACCACCAAGGAACCCCAGCATGCTATGCAGAGGCACACAACAGCAAAACACTAGATGGCTGCACTAGATGGCACTTCCCAATACCACATTTAGCATGCACTTCTTTTCTTTTGGAAAAAATACTATCATTTACCATATTAATAAAGGATAGCAAAAAAAAAAAGTTTAAAAATTCCACTGGAGAAATGTAGCTTTCTGGTGCACACTCAGAGATTTAGTGGTGCTTGAGGAGAAACATGCAAAAGAGGTGGCTCTCATGCACTGGGGGTCCAGAAAGGCTTGGTTTGGTGTCACTTAATACCTTTAGCAAAACGAATTTATAGAACCTTCCTGTCAAGTGGGAAGATGGGGAATATATTTCAGGTTTTTATCTGCATTTGACCTGTAAGTGAACTGTCTTTCTTTCTGCATTATTGTAATAGATCAATACCTCAGAGACTGCCATCGAAACAATTATGTGGAGACATGGAAAGGGGAAACAAAACTGCAACTGCTCTAAATTTCCTGTTATATATAAAAGGATCCCATGAACAAGGTATATTCAAATTTCATGTGGAAATATAAATTTAAGAGCTGATATTGGCACAGACATTTACTGGACAATTTAAAAAGCAGTATATGTAGTTTTGACGACAATAAGTGTAAGAGGATACCAACATTTCCCTTTGTATTCTTACTAAGGTCTTAAGAATTCTCCTTCACTAAAGAATAAAAGATGATGTCACAGAGAAGTTTCATAGTAACTTAATTATATAGCATATTTATCACAAACACCCCACCAATATTTATAGTAGAGTAAAATCACACCCACTCATGGCATTAAAAATAAAATCATAAAAGTAATCTTCCCATACTATAGATCTGGTCTTTCCACAGATATCTTCACCACACAAGATGAACTGAAAGGAAAAGGGGTCTCTGCTGCAATGCCACAGTGCCCTGCTCAATAAGGTTCAGAACAGTTTTCCCCATCTTTGTCTTCTGCTCGGCTGATGAAAGCTTTTGTGGTTGTTCAGTACTGTTTAGCATTGTTACTGCTCAGAGTAAATCTGACCACATTATTTTATAGTTTTGCTTTATACTACTTTTAAATTTCCTCTGCTTCAAAGGATGTACGAGTCATCCTGGGCTTTTGGAATATTTTAAATAAAATGATATACTGGCAGATACCGGATCAGAAACATCACAGTTTTAAGGCAATTGGTTGACCATTTAGATTAGAACATCATTATCTGTCAGCAGGAGAGCTACTCATCAACAATGAATAGTGATGTGAATTAATTACTTAGCTGGAAATATGAATTTGCTTAACTTGTAGTGCTCAGCTTTGGACTGACATCATTTCCCTGAAAATTTCTAAACTGGTTTTTAGTGTAAAATAAGCATCCATCTTGAGGCCCTTAGTGGTGAGAAAGATATTTGGGACAACTATTTTTGGCTCAATAGAATTTAAAAAAGAAAATAAAATTGGAGCTACCAATTGGAGTTACTTGAAAAACCACTGTACATGTCAAAACAAGATTTATTTTTAGTGTACAGTTCACTAAAGATGGGGAGTCTGTCCATCAATATTAATGACTGACTGGCCATGTGGTGGAGTCTAACTTACCTCACCTTGGTGGCAGTCATCACTTCCAGGGGTCATTACAAAACAACAAACGCACTTTGCTTGCAGCCAAATGGAACTCGGCTAGATGAAACAACCCAAACACAAGAATGTTTTTGTGCATCTTATACATGCACCTGCCAATAATCAAGCTGTATGTGAATTACCAACATAAATAGACTGAAACGTTTTAGCCTGAACAGCACAACAGCTTTATCTTTTGGCTCAGGATATGAGCCAGATGCAAGCTGAATGTAAAATGTAAAATGAGATCCTGTGTATGGGTGATGAGGATTAAAGCTAAACTGCTGGAGATCAAAGTGGTAAAAATGCCTTCCATGGATAATGGATTCTATCTCCATTCTGATAATTTTCACAGAATAATATCTGCACACTTCAAGAGAGACCTTTCATTAAAAGATTGAAGTATACAAGTGTGTGAATGAAAGATAACACAGACAAAGCCCTGCATAAAAATATGTGT